CAGTAGATTTTTCACCTGACATACAACTCATTTATCAACATTCATTTTACTTATCAAGAGTTTTTTCAAGGCCTCTCACCTCCTTGAATTCAGAAACACAAAATAATCACATAATAAACAGGTCAATACATTCTCTGCCTTAAATTGCATGCTATATGATATACCTAAAGCTAAGATGCCAAGCTCTCTCCTCACATTTGCTTCCTTGAGACACTAATAAGACTCATAGGATAATGTCCACCCTTAGTCAAATAGCTAAATGAAGTTATCATTTTTTCACAGTATATTTCATGATTTTCTTTGACTATCGAACGCATTAGACTCATAGGATATCACATTTGAACACATTTATGAGACTTGGAGATCTGCAAAACATTAAGTCATGTCATCCTGATTCTTAAGCAGTTCAGCAACAGATATTTGAGAAGAGATTAACCAACATCTAGTGCATTGTAAAATAACATGACATTTTAACCTTTCTATGATCCAAGCAAGAATAGATCATTAGGCTCAGACACTGTCTGCGGGTCCAGGACACCAGGCTAGTTGGCTATACAACAGAACCATGAACATGTTCCCAAATAATGATGAGCACAACACCTGTGCGGGGACAGGGCTTGTTTGAAAACACTGAAAATGGCCGACATGGTTCAAGCTCTGTGGTAGGGCTGAAAAAATGGTGCTTCAATGATGTGTGGAGGATTGATTTTAAGGCAGGAGGATCTTCGGCCACACCCTTAAAGCCTACAAGAATGTCTAAATTGCTTCTATCAATGGTTCATCTCCTTACTTGTCTTTTGCTAACTTCTTTTCAGCTGTTTTCATATTCATTTGAATATACTTTATTTTGGAAAATGTTGAAAAATATTGGAAAGAGAAAAAGATGGGATGAGAGAGACAGAGAACAGAGCAACGGAGGGAGAATCATGCCCGGTTATTTTTTTGTTTTGTATTTTATGAATAATTATCTATTTTCATAACTTACCTTGATTTTTTGCTTTATTATTGAAATTTTATTTTAGCTAGGCTTAGAAGACACTTCCTTTAAACCCTAACATTTCTAACAATATTAATTTTTTGATAATACATAAAACAAAAAATACATGTATTATAAATTATAATCGCTGTGTAGCACACATAACGATCCCTGAAGAAATTGCAGTAGGTTTGACAAATATTAATTCGGTTTTAGAGGAGACTTTCTACTGACTGCTCATTATATGGATGTATTCAGAAATAGCTTTCCCTTTCCTGTAAGAAACCTTTGGGTTTTCATAAGAAATGATGATGAAGAGATATTCCCCTGCCTCCCCCAGCCGAGGCATACAGTGAGCTCGAAAAAGAATAAGGAGCAGAGATGAAGTGGAAAGGCATTTCAGGCTACTGAACAACAAACTTTCCTTTTTGACTGTTTGCCTCGGGCCATCGCTGTGAGGCCTGTTCTAACCCAGCTCTTAAAAGCTGTTCTTCTGGACAAATGATAAGGAATAGTGAAATAACTCCAGGAATATTGTGATCAACACACAGATGCACATACACACATACACACCCACGCACGCAGGCATGCACCAGCAAAAGCCTATGCTTTATGCTGTTCAAAAAAGAAAATATTTGCACATCAAAGATAGTACCTTTCTTGCAAAGTAGCACATTTCCCCAAATTCCTTTTTCCCTCATCCCTTTGGATGAGATTTGTATTGTCAAGTTCATTGGACAGCAGCTATCCCAGGAGCATGCCCCATTTTCTTCATTCAGGGGGAATTGTACCAAACTTGCAATATGCTTTTTGCATTATAGCTGGATTTAGTGATTGCTATTAAAAATATATACTTTCTAGCGTTTATAATACATAAGCTAGATAAATTGTTAATGCTTTAGAACTCCCTAGACCACATGAATGATAGAAATTTCTGTGTTATTTCTGACAAAGTTGAGGACCCAGGAAAAGAGTTTTAATCCTCTTTTTTCTATTTTGCCTGTCAGACAAGAGCAGGCACTCGCTGAAGAGCAGGCACAGAACCAAAGGCTTAATTTTCAAAGCCAAGGAATAGAATTCGGCCACATATTTTTAATGTCTTTAAAATGTTAAATAACTAAATAAACTGACCCAGGCAAGGCATGTGTTGTCCTTAGGCAAAGAGTAAAAGTTTTTACAGACTGGACTAAGGCCAGATGGAATTTCCATTTGTTTCCCTTGTTGCTGTCCAAAATGCCAACATTTGGTAAAATTTTAATCCTTCATCAAAAATAAATCAGCACTTCTTATGCAAGAAGGGACAATGACAAATATAACTTGAACACATCTTTTAATTGTCCCCTAAGCATTGTCACCCTTATCTAATGTCTTCACTTCAGCCTCGTATCTTGGATTACGCTCAACCACACACACTTTTCCTCTAATACTAATCAGGATGTGTCTATTGGGAGTGAAAAATGTGAGCAATTATTTAGATTGTCTGGAAACAATCAAAACAAAATCGTCTGTGAACATCACAGTGCAGAAAGATATTTTAGAGATGAGAACACTCTGGAACATTTCCAGCTTCTTCTTTTGCTTTTGCAAATGCTTTCACGTGTTTTTTTAATTTTTCATGGGTGGTAGATTTCCAGGTTTGGCTGTGGGTCTTTCAAACATTATCATGAGTGTGTTTTTTCTTTACAAAGATAACAAGGTAATGGGTGCCGGTAAACCCCTGCTTTCTGAGGAGAGAAGGCTTCCATGAGAACCCAAGGATACCATCCATAGCTCTTCAGAGAAATTACTCAGCTGGTCATAGTGCTTGCCACACAGGCTGATGACATGTGTTTGATCTATTGAATCCATGTTGAGGTGTAAGGAGAGAAGAGAGTCCACAGTTGCCATCTCCTCCACATATGCTCTAACACGTGCAGGCATTGTCTTGGCTAGTCTTATGTCAGCTTGGCACAAGCTAGAGTCATCTGCAGGGAACCTCAATTGACAAAATACCTCCATAAGCTCCAGATGTAGGGCATTTCTTAGTTCATGATTGAGGGGGGAGGGCCTAGCCCATGGTGGCTGGTACCATCCCTGAGCTGGTGGTCCTGGGCTGAGCGAGTCATGATGAGCAAGGTAGTAAATAGCACCCTTCCATGGCCTCTGCATCAGCTCCTGCCTCCAGGTTCCTGCCCTGTTTGAGTTCCTGTCCTGACTTTTCAGTGATGGATTGTCAACTGGAAGTATAAGCTGAAATAAACCCTTTCCTCCCCAAGTTGGTTTGGTTATGGTATTCCATCTTAGCAATAATATCCCTAACTAGGACATGCACACACACACACACACACACACACACACACACACACACACACACACACACACAAAATTATTATTATTATTGCTATTATTATTATTATTATTATTATTTTAAAAGCAAAAAGTATCACACAAAGGGATTTAGTTTCGCTTTTTAATATAGATAAATGCCCCCCACTCTGTAATGATCATATAAAGACAAAAATGTCCACTTCTCTGTTCCACTCTAAATTTCCTGCCCTGTGGTGACTCCTACAGTGGTCTCTTTATTGTTCTAGTCAATCTATTGTTCATTTCCTAGTCCCTCGCTTTGTAGCAGGAACTACAGGTCAGCATCACCTAAAATGTACTAGAAGTGTGGTTTGGGGTTCTGTCATAAACCAGACGAGTCTAAACTGCATTTCAATAGGACTTCCAGAAATTTGTAAGATCAACAACACCCCTGAGGACCTCAGAGTTGGAGCTCCACAAGGTATGCCTCTTGCTGGGCAGTCTCTAGTTGAAATATTCTCAGCCAAGAGGTGTGTCACATACAGACTCACTTACACGTCTGTCACTTAGAGTGTGGTGACGACTTACTGTTCCCCAGTCTGCTGTGCTTCAAGAACCCAGGAATGTCCATGCCATGTTGATTGAGGCCACCTTTCACCCTATGTGAGCCATTGTGCAATAATGGGAATTCGTGATGCATTTAAGACTTTTTATGTGCGTGCTCACATGTGTACACGTGTGTGCAGGCCAGAGACCAAATTCAGTGGCCACTATTCACTTAGTTTTGGGAGGCAGGAACTCTCTCTAACCTGAAGCTTGCCCATTACACTAGGGCTGGCTCACCCATGGGTCCTGGGAAACATCTGTCTCCACACCCACAATGCTGTAATCACAAGTGTGGACTGCTATGCTTGGTTTGTTTGTTTGTTTGCTTGCTTGCTTGTTTTTACATGGACTCTAAGGAACAAGCTTAGATTCTCATACTTGCAAGGTAAGTGCTTTACCAACTGAGCCCTCTTCCCAGACCTAGCAAAGGCTTTTAAGGTGGCTTCATAAATCATACTATATAATTGACCCTGTCTACATACAAGAGATGTCTTATTTACATCAGCTTTCCTTGTACAGAAAACCAATCCATCACGATTGACAATCAACTCTCTTACACTGTGGTCCAAACTTCACAGCACCTTACAGGGGAATCTCTCTTTCAAAGACTGCATAATTGTTAGTCAGGATTTCTCTATGCTTCACCAGTTTTGAAATTCTCAATAAAATCATATTCTGGGTTATTAGAGCAAATATGACTTAAGTGCTACGAATATAACTGGTTCCTTTTATATGAAAACTATGAAAAGTCATTAACTATTAGAACTTTGAAGACAATTCTACCAAGAGGAAGTTTTTCTACTTCGTTCAAGCTGAAGAAATATAGATATCAATGAGCTTCCTCACTCAACACCTGTATTGTTCCTGAGAATGTTCTTTCTATCTATCTATGTATCTATCTATGTATCTATCTATGTCTGTATCTATCTATCTATGTATCTATCTATCTATCATCTATTGATCATCTAACTATTTTTCATCTAACTACCTATCATCTATCTATATATCATCTAACTATCTATCATCTAACTATCTATGATCTAATTATCTATCTATCACTTAACTATTTATCTATCTTCTATCTGTCTCTCATGAAATGGCTCGATGACTCCTTCTTGACATTGACAATGAGATGGTTAAGGAGAGGATGATTCTGAGAAGCAGAGGGGCCACCACCGTGAGATTCTGTAGTGGATTCAACTCTACACACCACAAATAAAGGTAGGAATTTAAAGCCAAGAAACAAGATGAGGGTCAATAGATGAAAAAATAGTAAGAGATAACGTAAGAGTAAAGTGGAGGTGTTTAGGTACTCCCACCTTGCAAACAAGGAGGATGTTTGCTGGATGGAGAACATTGGGGCTTCTCATTACCTTGAACATGGTGAAGAACACGAAATCAGACCGCAGGGATGGTCAGGGACTGAAGGAAGTTAAACTGGCTTGCCAGCATTTCTGCTGCAATTGGACTTTGTAGAGAGAAACACAAACGTGAAAAGATGGAGAAAGAGTTCATGGAACTCTGAGTTTGGTCAGGAGACAACATTAGGCATTTCCCTCCCTCCCATCTCTCTCGTGGTCTCTCTTCCTATAGTCCCTAACAAACGACAAACTAGTACGAGAGCCTGTGAGTTGTTCTCGCTGACTCCGACTGTCATCCTTTTTCACTTACCATACTTTCCTAAAGATGCACCCATGATCATGGCACATCCTATCCATCTTTCTCCAGTGGCCCCGCAGCATCTGCTGCATGGAGCACGCACAGAATGACGCATGAGGGTTTGCATGGTCAGAACACAGCTTCAACTGCCTTTTGCAAGGTCAGATGCCGCCTTTTTTATCTCGTCAATATAAATTCCTGAAATGCATTGCTTTGTAGTCTCTCTTCTGTCTTGTTTCCATAATCTAGACTAGTCACTGACTTCTGACTTCAAGTACTGCCTGTCCATTATGCCCCACTTCTCACTTTGCTATCTCTAGATTCAATCCCGTTATACTTCAGGCAAATTCAATTTATCTTCTGCATTTCTATTGCAACCGATAGATACATCTGTCACAATATACATTCTGTGTAACTGACAGAGAATTAGACTTAAAACGCCATGAAGGCAAAGAAAATCACTGTTCACTTTTAAACTCCAGCTTCCTGAAAAGGCCCCAGTACAAATATCCAGTTGGTTATTTTAAATTGAATGATATGTACTCAGATCAGAATTGAGCAGGAGAAAAGCAATATGTTTTCAGAATCTCAGGAATGGAGTTGAAATGCTAGGTTTGTATTTAAAATCTAAATTCAACAAGTATACACTTTATCTAGAGAGAACGCTATAATGGATGCTAAGGAAGCCATATAAATTCATTCAGTGAATATCTGTTTAGCATTGACTTCATGTTATCATTTCTCTAAACATTGCAGAAACATCACTGAAAATTTTAATCTCTGACATAAATTGACTATATGACCTAAGCCCTCACTAATCATCTTCTTTCCTACTGTGTCTTAATTAATCAGAACTACAGTTAAGAGCACAGGAGAAGACTCCTTCGACCCATTCATTTCTCCATAGTTGATGGAATGCTTCTCAGACTCTATTTCTGAGAGCAGAGTCTAATTCATGGGGTTAGAGGAAGAACTAGCAGTAATACTTTCAAAGAAGCCTGCATACCTCGAAGCAGGGATAATTAAGCATAGAGAAAGAAGCATACTGCAAGTCTTTCTGTATCTTGCTATAGCAGCTGTCTAAACACGGAGTTTGGTTCTAAGTTTGCCTAATTGATGAAAAAACAAGGATCCCTGGATAGTAGCAAAGGCACTTTGAAGGCACAAATCCTTGTTTATGCTCCATAGGATATTTTATTAGATCCTTTTGTGTTTCTCACAACACTTAAGAGAGTGTTTCATGCAGAGGTTAAATATATATAGACCCAGTGAATTGATGAATAAATTGCTTTTATTTTACAAGATAATTGGAAGTGTAAGTTCACTTGTCTATCTTATTAGCCATGAAAGAAATTGCAGGCTTTCTTGAAATGCTATTGTTAAACTTGAGTTCCACCAACTTACATAAGACTTTTTAAATTCAAGGAAAGTAGACTTCACATAAACTACCTTTTAACTAAGTAGGATGGCTACCATTTAAGCACTACGGCTCTGGTTTTTTTTCCACATGTATTTTATTAATCATTCTAAACACATTTGTTTCATTCCACAGAAATGAGCAGCTCACCTTCCACCTTTGAGAAATTACTGTTAATCATTCTTGAATGATTCCATTTAAAGCATTCCCCTGTGGTTTTACAATCCCTTCTGCCCACTAATCTGGGAAGAACGATGTGCAAAAAGGAAATACAGAGAAGCAAATAGCTGTTCTCGTGAATCGTCATTATAAGCCTCGTCAGCAACAGCAGAGTTTCTCAACTGTTCTTTAAGAGTCCGATAAATCTGTAAACAGAGAATCCACAACAGTGGGCTTGAAATCCATCCAAGTGATGATAAATGCATGCTATGGGATAGAAGATGCTTTTATATCCATGATTCATGCTTTATTCCTGCATCCTACCCATCCTGACTGATAGAACAACATGATTAAAACTTGATAATGACAAAAGAATGATAGGTAATATGTCAGACAAGAAATGGGAAGTGAATATGCATATAATTTCTTAGGACCTATATACGGCTTTCTGGCTAGTCAAATTTACTCAGCTAATTAAAGATATCATATCTTGTGAGTAAATGCATTGATGAATACTGTTAAGTACTGTATTTGATATAGACTCCAATCACATTTCTGAGTATTTCTTAGATATCTGGAAGCTTGGGGTTATATAAGTAAAATAGTCAAGTGTTTTATCACAGTTCATCATCATCCTGTTGGTGCATCATTCTTTGCATATAATATCTGTCTGTGTGAATTGGGCAAGTACTTCCTATGACATCCAGGGAACATACATCCGTAATACAAGGTGTCCATGATCATGCTTCTTCTTTTTATAAGCAAGTGCTAAAATTTACGTGATTAAAGGCAGATTAATTGCTGTTGAAGACAACACTTATGTATCTCATTGAGCAATGAGAAGTTGAGCTGGTGCCTAACTAGAGCCTTCACCCCTGCTGACTAGTGTTCATGGCAGAGGAAGGTATTGTTCACACTACCAGAGAAGAAACAAACACCGATCCAGCTACAAACCCTTTGATCTACAATGGTGACCTGTCTTCAGGACACACTGGCTTAACAGTGGCACAAATGTTGTAAGAGTAACAAACCACTATCTGTTGGAATAAGGGCTCACTCCATGAGATGGATGGAACCCATGCCTGACACTGCTGGAGTGACCAAGAACCTGAGACCAGACAGACCTACTAGAAGAAAATCCTTAGAAGAATTGTTCTGCTAACAGAACAGCACTATTGGAATCCTGATGACAGTCTGCTGTATGCAGAGGTAAGTTCTTGGCTCAACCATTATCGTAGCAACTTCCTCTGGCAGTAAGTGAGAACTAAGACAGAGAGTCATAACTGGACAGCAGAGAGTGAGAGAGTTGAAGCACTCGGTCTTAAGTGGGATGTCTTCATAAAACCCTCCCCTCACTTCAGAGAGCTATGTGAAGAGGAGGCAGAAAGATTGTGTAAGAGCTAGAGGTGATGGGTGACTCCAAAGAAACAGTCTCCTCTAGTTTCCACAGGACAGAGGCACATATCAGTTTACAGAGACTGTGGCTGCTTATGCAAGACCTACACAGCGTCAAGCCAGAAAGTTTACAGTGCGAAGAAGGGGAAGTGATTACCAGCTTCCACCACTAACCAAGAAGCTACCTGCAATTGACACCCACTTGCAAAAGAAAAATTGGTTTACTCCAATGGAGTCTCACCGAGTATATTAACCACACTTAAGGGTAGACCAATCCACAATGAACACGATGGTAGGCTTATTTATTTATTTATTTATTTATTTATTCGTTCATTTATTCATTCATTCATTCATTCATTTGGGTCTCATATTGGTTTGTTTGGTCATTTTTTTGTCTTATTTGTCTTTTGATTATATTTTTGGTCTCTCTTTTTATATTTTTATTGATTTTTGTGTGTGTGTTTCTTGTTTCTGTTTTGCTGTTTGCTTTCTTTGTTTTTGTTTGCTGTTAAAAAGAGAAAGGCATGGAGCTGGATATATGGGGAGGATCTGGGAGGAGTTAGGAGAGGGAAAAGATGTGATCAGAATATATTGCATAAATTTTTTATTGAAAATTGGAGCAAACTAAAGGTAAGCATTATAATGTGGATGTTGATCCCATGTAGATTATAAACCAAAATGAATATATAATAGTTCACATGGAAGAACTATGGGCTCTGAGGAGGAAAACATAATGAGAATACTGACTGGAGGTTGGACTAGGATACTCAAGGCCCTGGGTTCAATTCTTCAGCATCTCCTACATTTTTAAAATATAAAATAAAATATGCAAAGATGAAATCTGCTGACTAGAGAATGAAGGAGGCACGAATGCTTAACTGTGTGATAAAATCTTTCTCTTCACCATTAGTTAAGGCAAAAGCAACTCCTCCATATCAACAATTTCTAGTTTCTTCTTATTACTTTCCTGTCTAAGGCCTGTGAATGATGTCAGCATACCATTCTGTACAAGTGTGGGTGAGCAAGGAGGGAGAATCTTCCCCCGACATCATCATCTCTTTCCCTTGTGGGAATTAACAGAAAGATGTCAAGTCACATCACATTTCTTATACCATACCACTGTCAGTTAGACAGCCCACATGACTACCATCATGGGAAAATTGATCCAAGCATGAAGTACACCATGACCAGTTTTTGCCTTCACTGTGCATTCAACAGGATGCACGTGTAGACTGAAGACCCTTTTATCTCATATGTCCCTAAGTCTGATGTTCTCTTTTAATCTATGGTACCTTTACTGTTAACTTGTACACTCCTGCTCTTATCTCTACTGGAATCTTTTCTAGACAATCCACTTTTATCATTTACCCCTCATTATAAAAATCTAATTTCTTGTCTGTCAAGAAGAAATTGAGTCTAGCAAGCTGAGAACTAGCTCCCTGACAAACTGCAATGACATATCAGCCTGAAGGTACAATTTCCAAAGCAGAAAGTTGGAATTATAGATACCACCTACATTCATTCACAGGTAGGGAAAGAAATAATGATAGCATAGAACTATTTTTTTCAATCACACTGCAAAAAGAATTCTAAATAACATTTTAGCTTATGATAAAAGATATTAAAATTCACCATGACTTTTTTCTTTTGTGCTGTAAGTTAATGCCATATATATATATATATAGATATAGATATAGATATATAGATATATAGATATATATAGATATATATATGGTGATATATATATATATCACTAGGAAAAAATAAATACATATGATTTATAAAATAAAATATAGTGATTTAGTTCTATTCACAAGGAAAATATACCAATTTTCTTATATTGCTAGTCATAATATCATTAGATAATCTTGCTACTCAAATGTCAGTCTGTTCATTGACCAACTTGAGTAGATATGTAGACATAAGCATGCAACATTGATTCATTTTAACTTTAATATTTTAAAAGCTTGTACATAAGTAAAAACATCACACACCAATATTTACTGGACCCAAATCATTTACCTGAACTTGTCATCTGAGAAACAGTTAAAAATTAGACTTGTGACCACAGACCATGCCCTCTGTGTTTAGTCTTCATTATGTCTTGCTTGGCTCAGTTCTTCCTGTTCTGTCCCCTCACCGTCAGCATCTAGCATGCTACTTTCTTAAGTTCCAGAATTGCGTGCAATGACTTTATGTGCAGTTGTGCATATATGTGCTGGTGAGGAAATGTGGCATGTCTGGGTCTGGAACTCATCAAGAAGTGTTGAAGCAGGGTTAGCAGTGGTACATGCCTTTAATCCCAGCACTTGGGAGGCAGAGCCAGGCAGATCTCTGTGAGTTGGAGGCCAGCCTGGTCTACAGAGCGAGATCCAGGACAGGCACCAAAACTACATTGAGAAACCCTGTAAAAACAAAACAAAGAAGAAGAAGAGGAGGAGGAGGAGGAGGAAGAGGAGGAGGAGGAGGAGGAGGAGGAAGAAGAAGTGTTTCTGTGATTCTGTTTTCCCCCCAGGAACCTCAGCCAGATAGCTTACACTCAATGTTTGATCGATGCATCCAGTGAACAAGTTTCATGGTAAACTGTACTCTCTAGTGTATAGAGCTGTTGCAAGAGTGTGGATTGGTGGTAACTCTGAGCCCTGAAAAAGGGAAATAAAAGCTCTAAGAGCCCAAATTACTGCCAGGGAGGACATAGATAGTCAGAAATAAATTTTATTAATATTTACATATTTAATGAGCAAGCAAATATTTTAAATGATAAAATAAAGAATCATCTTTATTTTCTCATTCTGTTCTGTATGTACAGATGTGAAAATTAACTCTTGGCTGTGCTCAAAATACGCAGTAGCTTTTATAGATATGAACATGGTTTTCCATGAGTCTCTAATCTCTGAACACATTACTCCTTTAACCTGTACATACAAGATCTCTTTTCATATTTTTAATCATTATCATCTCTTTCTGCAGCATTTTTGTTAATCTCTTTATCAACAGACAAATAATATTTATCTAATAAAAGATTATAAATCTAGTCAGGTTGTCAACCAAAATTAACCATCAAAACTTTATTAAAGAATACCTTAATGTCAGGACAAGACCAACATCAACTCATGAATTGTAGTTGGGGGATTTCAACAAGAATACATTTATTAGGTATGTTTTATAATAAAATAATACCTAACATTCATCTTGTTCATAAACACGTTATGAACCAGCATCTGTTTAAAGATAGTTTGGATAATAGAGCATTCTTTGTCTGTGGAATAGACTCTACTTGATATTTCCAACTGTTCCATCATTGCTAAGTGTGTTTAAAATGTGGTTAGCCAGAGTTCTCAGAAATGGCAGCCACTATAGTCAAAATATGACAGACTGAAACATCATCCAGTATCGCAGACTCTCTTTTGTTTCCCACTCCAAGTTCCTTCAAGACCTCTATTTTTAGGTCTGGAAAAATGACTCAGTGGTTAAGAGTGCTTAATGTTTTTGCAGAGGACCTGAGTTCAATTCCCAGTGCTCATGTTATCTAGTTCCTATGTTGTCCAGTTTCAGAAAATTTGACTGCCTCTTCTGGACTTGGCAGAAACCTAACCACATGCACACACAACAACAACAGCAATTTAAAAATAATCAATGTTTTTAAGAGATGACTTTATCATCTCTCGTGATCTCCTTTCTAGTTTTGTGTTCTAAACCACATATATACATATATAACCACACACAAGTTTATATATGTGTGTATATATATATAATTGTATATAATAAGAGGATTTGTGTATGATATAAAACATGTAGTATTTACCCCCTCTGAATCTGGGATCTTTGCTTAACACAGTAATTTTTGGTTCCTTCTTTATGCAAATATCATGATTTTATTCTTCTTTATGGCACAATAAAATTCCATTGTTTATATGTACCATACTTTCATTATCCATTCATCTGTTGGTAGAATAATTCAACATGAAACAGAAGCAGGGGACATGGGAGAGGTAAGGAGGAGGAGCTTTAACTAAACCAAAGTGTTTATGAAAAAGCTATGATGAAAAACAATTGCTTGTACAGTAATTTAAGATCTAATGGAGTCAAATGGAAGATAGTTTCATGACATACTTTCTCAATCAATCACCTGATTATTATTTTTTTTCTCTTCTCTGCTAACAGTTTCCTAAAAGGCAGGGAATACTAATTGACTGAACATTCTTAGCATCTCCAACAGTCACAGTGCTAAGTGAACTCCAATGCTGTGTGCTATGTAGGCCAATGCTCAGAATAAGAGCAGCAACAAATAAATTGTAAGTGGTTACATTTTTCCATTAGTGTTCATCACTTATGCTCACCTAGTACATAGTGAAGCTGTCAGTCACCCTAGTAGATCTTTTCTCTTGAACTACCATTTTTCCAAGGAAAGGTGAACTTGAGGAAAGCAAGTCATCAACCTGCAAAATGCTGAGTATGACATCATCAAATTTATTTGCATGAGGACAATTGATTTTCTTAGAGGACTCGAAAAGGGCACTTTGAAGGACGTCTTTTAGAAACTAAACAAGAGAGGAAATAAAAGCAGCCCTAATCTTATGAGGAGACTTGTCCAGACCTTAAATAAAAATCAAAGAGATTTAGCTTCAATGTTGAGCCACAGAGGTGGCTGAATTAGGGAGGTTTGAGGGTTCATGCTATTGAGGGTTCATTGATGGAAGATGGATATGTGTACACTTAGATTCCAGAGAATACAAAGCCACCATTTGGAACTTATTAAAAATAGCAAAACACTTGGTAACAGACTCTACTACCACAGTAAAACTAATTCCTTCAAGAACACAAAAGGGTGCTCGCTTCGGCAGCACATACACTAAAACTGGAAAGAATACAAAAGGATCAGAAGTATCAGATCATTCTTGTAATGGTTTCAAAGCCACTGAAGGCCATATGAGCAGCTTTCTCAAAAAAAAATTAGTAAAACCAAATCAGTGTCAGGATATTGATAGTGTTGATTATACACATTTAAATATATCATACTCAAGTTGTTGCAAGATATTATTAAAAGCAAGAAGACACAAGCAACTCTTCATATGCAAAAGTTCTGCTTTAGAGTAAACCTTGGAAGCCAAAAGATTGTGGGATGTAATATTCAGTGTTCTGAGTAAAGAGTTGCCAAGCAGAAATTCTGCACCCAGCAAAACTATCCTTCAAATATAAATTAGAAATGAATGTATTCCCAGAAGTCTTGTGCATGCTGTCACCATTTTGGTGAGTTCAAATATGTGCCTGCCCTGTTATGTCTATAAAACAGTGTTTAATTGTAGTTACCTTCTACCTCTGGCTCTTACAATCCTTTGGCTCCTCTTCCTTGGTGCTCTCTGAGCGGTGGGAAGAGGAGAAAATGTGATTAGGAGAAATGTCCCATTTCAAGATGAACACTCCCTAGCCTCTTAATTTGAACAGTTGTGGTCTCCATTTCAAATGCCATCTTATTTTTTTTTAAATAAGCTTCTCTGGTGGAGAATGAAAAATGCACCAATCTATAAGCATAATGGTAAATCAGTTAAAATCTCTAGTCAAGTACAATCCCAGCATGGGGTGAGAAGGAAGGCAGATGAAAATAGATTATCTTTTCCTATGGATATCCAGCATTTTTGTTTTAATTTGAAGGAGTAGTTTCCCTTTCTTTCCTTGTAACTGCCTAAGGATAGAATTTTAAATGACATTTACCAGGTAAGTGCAGATGACAAGAAACATGCAAAGTCAGCACCTGCTAGTGAAAAATACTGTGCTATTATTTCTGTTGTTACACACTGCTTTCACTACTGAGTGTGTTTCATTCGCATGCCACTGCTCTTCTCTTTGCTAAATAACACTTCTATTAATAAAAGAAGTGATATTGACTAATTTGTTTAGAAAATATAAAACAAAATAAGTATTATCCAGAATACCACCACCCAAAAGAAAATGACTATAAAATTTTGATTAGACTTTTTCTATATTTTCTCCCATAGGTCTATTTTGAATACCTGATTAAAAGTCACTAATTACATAAAAACATAGAAAATCTAAGGAAAGACTTCTGATTTGTCAACAGTTACACTCATGAAGAGTTACATGAAGAAGGAGGATATATGAATGGAATACATGATACAGCTATCCACTTCATTGATCTCCCCAACTTGGCTGATACAGCATGAGAAATAAGTGTGCAGTAGGGCTACTGGAGGGAGCTCATTGCATTCCACATGTTTATGCATGAGAATTGTTTATACACTGTGCTTGCCAATTAAAATATATGAACAACTAAATTAAAATTTAAGAGACGATGCAAAAAGGCAGAAAACTTGCAGAAAGTTGCTTGACGTACACCAACACAAGTAGCCAAATATCCACAATATAACTAGTAATAATTTTCCAAAACAAAAGCCAGGAACATCACAACTAGAATAAGAAAAGAGAATAGCTACCACCATTGACAGATTGAAATTTTCTAACGAATATTTCATCATACTCATTAAAATAGTTATCAGCACCCTTGAAACAAAGAAAAAAGTATAAAAATCTAAATAAAGCATAAATTATAGAATTAACAAATACATTAGTTAAAATAAAAGTTCTCTAGAGAAACTTGACAGGGGAATAGATATGACAAAGAAAAAAGTCAACAAATTTGAAGAGAAAACAACAAATTGTTCAATAACTAAGTAAGATAAAACACACAAATGTAGCCAGGGCTTCTGAAATTTGTACACCAATAAGGAAAGATTGAATGTTTATGTCAGCACATTCTCAAGAGAAGAGCCAAAAAGGAGAGCACTAGAAGTAGTACTTGATGAAATAATTGCTCAATATTTTCTGAATTTTGTCAAACATATTAAACATATGTACTTACAATTTCAAAAATATTTAACAAGCCTCAAATAAAGTAAAGTTTTTTTTAAAAAAAAAGTATTTCCAAGACGTTTTATAACTGAAACTCTAAACACACACACACACACACACACAAACACGCACGCACCTTGAAAGTAGCTGGGGTGAAACAAAACATTACCTTCTGCTTAACTCGCAAGCTGATTACTTTCTCATCTGAGAACAAGGAAATCAGAAATAACTCTGACATTTTTCAACTGAAAGGAAGATGAAGAGGATAAGGAGGAGGAAGAGGAGGAGAAGAAAAGAAAGAAATTACTTTCAAATGTGTTCTCCAAGAATTAGGTCAATGCCAAAGGAGATGGCTTGAAATGTAAGTTGCACAGCTTTTCCAGAGGAGTCAAGTTTGGTTCTTAGCATTCACTTCAGATGGTTCACAACTGCCTGTAATTCCAGCCAAGTGGTTCCAACATCCTTTTCTGATCCCAGTGGGTACTCACCTAGGTACATACATATATACATAAATCAAAACAAAATTAACCTTTAGAGAAGGATCCATGGGGTGCTGAGAAGAAGGTATATTCTTCTACCAGGTTGATCTCAGTCCGCGGGGAAGGCTTTGCCCTGGAGGAGGTGGGAATGGGGGGTGGGCTAGGGGGAAGGTGAAGGGGCAGGAGGGGGGAGAACAAGGGAATCCATGGCTGATATGTAGAACTGAATTGTATTGCAAAATAAAAATAAAAAATTAACCTTTAAAAAATGGAGGGGTTAAAGACATTCTCAGACAATGAAAACCTAAGGGAAGGATTAAATGATATTCTTATTTTTTTTTAAATAAGCTTCTCTGGTGGAGAATGAAAAATGTACCAATCTATAAGCATAATGGTAAGTCAGCTAAAATCTCTAGTCAAGTACAATCCCAGTATGGGGTGAGAAGGGAGGCAGGAAGTCTGGTAGCTGCTGAATTAGGGACAGTTAGTTTACTTTAAGGGTGTGCTCTCTGGTGAATCAATCAAGCTCTGGTGATAGCTATACACCCAAGAGTATAGGCAGCATAAAGTGGGCGCACCAGGTTTTATAAATGGGGGACACAAAACGGGGTCAGTGTGAAAGGGAGGTGGATCTGGGAGGAGTTGAGAAAGAAGGTAAATGTAATCAAAATGCAATGTAAGAAATTCTCAAAAAAAAATTAAAATATTAATAAAAGGTCATATTGAGAGAAGCAAAAACTAGTAATTTTCCACTATTAGTAAACAGGGTGGTTTGTGCTGAAGTAAAAGTGAACTTATTTTACATTATTGCTCAAAGTAATAGGGAAGTATAAAAGACAACTTGTATTTTCTGCTTTTAATTCTTTTCTCAATTATTTAAAAAACAACTGTATAAAGTGACATTCTTAACCAGGAGAGAGGCCACAGGAAAATAAGACCCTGAGCTCCCACTAAGAAGGATGAAATGGGTTTGAATATTGTCAATCAGAATGCTGATGAAATTTATCTGCATATTATAAAATCTGAAGCAAACACAAATAAACCACGCAACAGTTATGATATTGGTCAGCTTGGACTCTCATATAAGAAGTAGCATAAATCAGATGGCTTAAGCAAGAAATTGGTTCTCATAGTTCTGGAAGCTACCCAAAATTAAGGTGGCAGCGTGGTTAGGATTCATTCTGAGGCCCTTCCACTTGGGTTACTGGTGGCCATCATCTTGCTACGGATTAATACAACCTGTCTCTTGTTCTAGAGCTCAGGGAGAAAAAAATCTGTGCCGTCTTCTTCTTTTTGGTCGCTAATTCCCATATGAGAGCAGCCCCGCACATCCTCCTATGTATCACCAATATATCTTATCTCCAGGTACCATTGCATTGCAGGTCAAGTCCTCAACCCAGGGACCAGAGAACACATAAGTCAATTCTTTACAAATGTACTAAGTAGCATAAGTAAGTCAAAAAAAAAAAAAAAAGAATTCCTCAAATAGTAAGGAAACTCCCAGACTGTCATGGAAAAGAAAGAGGGAGATGAGAAAGAAAAGAAAGAAAAAGAAACATAAAATAAACCTTCACATGCACTGTCGTGTTTCCCTCAGTGTAAAGGATGTAAATATAGCAATTAGAGGAGAGCTCAGCAGAATGGATAAGAGACAACATCACCCAAATAGAAGTTGTCCACAGGAAATTCGACTCAGACAGCATAGGTAGGCTGAAAGTAGAAAGCGATAACCTAAATGTGGTCTCTTTAAAAAGAACAGCGAGAGCTCTGTATCTTCACCAACCTCACCCCATCCCCGCTCCCCAAATGCTCTGACACCCAACAGTGTTCAGCTTTCGTAGAAATGATTGCAGTGCCACACACTTCCTTATCTGAACCACATAACCAGTGGAGATCTTGCCGACTGATACATATGTGAAAGAGTATTGACCTAAATGGACACCATAACCAGAAATTGCTGACAGGAGGTTCCTGGGGAGAAGAAGAGCCAATGTGCAAAGAAGTAGATTGGTAGTGGAGATCAGTTAAACGCACTCGGGCATGCTCCAGATTTTGCCCCTGACAGAAAGTTTTGTGCATGGGAAAACAGCCCTGGAGGGGAACAAGAGAAAGGATGATTTTTCTCCTCAATTCCATGGTGTGGCCTGTGGTTGCCTCCTTTTCAACATTTCAGCCTCCATTAATAGGCACCTCCATAAAAATGCAGGCAATTACCATAGGAAAAGTTACAAAATTGTCCACATAGAGAAATTCACCTTCCCATTTGTAGTTTGACAGCTAGGTTGATAAGTTAGATCCAAACAAAATTAGCCTTCAGATAGATGCTCTCATATTGCTGTAATAAACGTCTCAAAGCCCACACTGCCCCTTGGAGGGCCTGGAGCCTTAGCGAAATGGAACTGAAAAGTTGTTACCTAGTCTCAACAGCATCAAGGCCCCTGAAGGGCCAGTGGCCCCTCCATGACTCAGGCAAAAGCAGGCTTATTCTTATCTTCACCTTTTCCCCTTATCCACTAGGCCAGTGAAGAAACATGACAGCTGTTTAAAAGATGGAAGGGAATACAGTAAACTTCATACATTTCAGTCAGTTTTAGGATATCCTATGGGATCCTGAACCAACCAACACTAACCCAAACACAGAAAAATCCAGCAATGAGCCCCAACAAACTCACAAATCCCTACGTAAAATCACAGCCCTTACTTACGAAAGTCCTCAAACCAGACCACCCATAATCTACTAAGAGGAGCCGTAGAGAAGTAAGCATAATGGTGGAGTGGAAATAATCATGACCTTCAAACAACCCTCTCATTGTCTCTCATGGCTCATCATCCTTTGCATCAGTTGGAAAAGCTTGTTCCTCTGAGCTACATTCTGCTCCAAGCCCGATGCAGAAAGTGGTAATTCTTTGAACGGAGTGGTAAATGGGCTTGGTCCACAGATTACACTGTTGCATAGATACAGGGATTGGGAAGATGGGATTAAGTCATGTAGCTGTGCATTCCTAATACTCTTCTTTCAAGCTAGTGAAGTTCAATTCGGTTCAATAAACATATATTAGACATGTGGAATAAGAGAGACTGCAATGCCATATCCAGGAGAGCTTGGACAGTTAAGTTTCTAAAGTGTGTGTTGGTACAATGGTGACCATATCTCAGATACATTCCTGCCTCTTTCTTACCTCCTGACTTCTTCATTATTGTGTGTGTGTATGTGTGTGTGTGTGTGTGTGTGTGTGTGTGTGTGTGTGTGTGTGTTCTTTGCTTCTTACGGCATTGTCTTCTTTGCAGATACATAGATAAAATTCCAAGGCTGATTTCCACATGTCAGTCTTCTGATGTCTTTCACCATCATCACACTGCTATAGAACTGATCATAAAAGCTATCATTCTGTGACAGGGTTCTAGGGACCAGAGAGGACTTTTTCGGGGGCCCTTTCCTCTTCAGATGTTCACAAGGCAAGCATGGCCCTCCACTCTTTGGTTCAGGGATCTCTCGTGCTTCAGTTCCCTGTATCCAACTGGAGTGTACTACTGGGGACTTGCATCTGCTTCTGAATGAAAACGAGGTCAGTTGTGCCTCTTCCCTGGGCTATTTGCATAGTTACTGTATTTGTTCCATTAATGTTTATCATTTGAATATCATTTAATGGATGCCAGCACAAGGGAGGGAAGAGATAGAATGTCCCCTGGAAGATGCTGCCCCGTTAATTCAAATAAATAGTGATGAAAAGCCTGCGCACACAGCCATATGGGGGCTATTTGGGGGCAGCGGGGCTGTTCATTTTGTTTTAAAATCACAAGCTTGGACAAAATATATCGTTTGGCTAGGAGGGAACTGAAATTATAAAGCTTGCAAGGCTTTGGATTTCAGTGTTCTACTCTCTCCCCCCTCACCACCTCACATTGTGGGGAGGGTGCCCTGCCCTTAACACAGCCCACTTCTTGAACTCTTTCCAATCCCAGGTATTCCCTATTTCTTTTAATACCTCATTGCTTTTGCATCAATTACAGACTGACCCAAAGCTGTACTGGAAGTGCAAGTGATAGATGGTGAGGCCCAGTGGAATGAATTTCTGATGGAAGAATAAAACTGTTAAAGGAATAAATTTACTGCATACAAATTTATACAAATCCCATATATACTGGGAAATCCTTTGCAATGAAAAACTGATGAAAGATTAAAATGTTAAATGAATTAAAATCTACCACGCCAGTGAAATATAATGATGATTTGACCTACTAAATGAATGGCCTAAATGAAGATATAAATTTGAAGTGTTCCAATGTATGTCAGTTTGAAATGTGTGGTAAGCCAGCATAACATAAAAATATGACTCTGGCTGCTGAAGGAACACTCTTTGTGGAACCAGCCATTATTTAGAAACATCTGTGTTGGCTCTTTGTATAATGTGAAGAAAAACACCCCATTTCTCACATCAGGTAGCATCACCATTAACCTTTCTGTCTTTCTTTATTTTGTCCCTCTTAAAGTCTCCACGTTCTATGTCTGTGGACCACGACTTAAGGGTAGATAAGAATTGGGAACTTCCTGTTACAATTTCTTTCCTTCATTTTACTAGACCTTAGCTTATATCTTATATATCATATATATTTATATATGTTTACAAAATATACAAAAGCTGATACAAGTATAAAATTTTCAGCGGGCATGAGTAGTTAGTTAACTGGTGCCTATTCACAATTACTGCTTTCTCTAAGTAGCAACTGAACATTAAAAAATAATAACAATAACCACCATAAAATCCTTAGCCATTAAAATAAATTTCAAGACTATTTTCCTGTCCAGGAGAATTATAGTTACCCACCCAGCTTAGGATACAGGTAATATATATTGTGTTCATAACTGACTCAAGACCTGGTCATTTAAAAATAATACTCTGTAGCTAGGCACAACTAGATAACTTTGATCATTGTCAAAAAACATAAAGGTGCAAATAGACTATTCTACCGAATGACTCTCTGAGTTCTGCCCAGTTTATGATATTATAGCCATGTACAATTGGAAGCTATAGAAGAGGTCATTTTCTCTGTAGGATCATCCGGCACTCCAGATTTCTGGGCATACAGCCATGTGCATATGGCCATTAATTCAAATGATAGGTACTGACCATCAGTCA